AAATGGTAATTAGAATAGGCTGACAAATGTTAGAGCAAGTTGATGTTGCAAAAATTCTCCTCCCTTCCTCCAACTACAGACATGTTGCCATCAAAACTTCAATGAAAACTCAAAACTGGGAATAATGGTGTGGGAATATAGGAGTGATTTTGCTGATTATTTATAATAACCCAACACTTTATCAATGTGTTAACTGTCTCTGCAGAACAGTGTCACTCAACCAACTTGTCTACTGAATCCTACCTGCAGAAATATTAATCTATTATAATAGCTCATGTAGTTCATAAGTGTGTGTGGCAAGGGTGGTGGTGGAATTATTTAACAAGCGCATGGGAGGGGGGACAATAGGGTGCTTTTAGTTTCTAAGACTAGTACTTTACCAGAATTTACTAGTCAAAATATTAACACTTGACAATGTCCCTTTACAAACATTGTCAAACTACCTCTAAGGAAACTCTTGTAGTAATTACAGTAAAATATAGTAATGGGAACACTTGATTGAAAAAGGGTGTGTGCTTGTGAGTGGCAAACACAGAAGTTCAAACAACTATATGGGACTAGGGACCATTATGGCTTTCACAATACATTTGTGAATAGAGGCACCTTGTGATTAAATCTTTTTTTGGAAAACAAAACTGTCAGACCTAACATCCATTTTCCATGAAATAGCTACCACTAGCAAGCCAGAAATGTCTCATGTAATTAATACTTGTTTTCTTCTATTTCATGGAACAAAATCTTGTACTCAAAACTCCTATTTCAAGGCTCCTTTCCTAAATAAGGACTGCAGGATGTGTTCTGCAGTGTAAGCACAGATAATTGCCTGTTGCCTGGAGAATTTAAGATTTGAGCATTGCAAAATTTACATTTTACATTAATTTTAATATTCAAATTCCATAAATAGCTAGTCATGTACAAGTGTCATTCAAGACCAGTTAACTTCAGGATGTTACTCACAAATTTTATCTGTGTGTATGTGATAAATATAAACTGACTCAGCATGAGTGCTTAAAATAAAAGGTGACTTGTTTTCTTACTCTCAACTTCATGGCAGTTGTTTTGTAATATAACTTTAGAAGGCTGTATGTGATCCATTACAAGGAATGGTCTGAGCATTGATATGCACAAAACTATTGATTGTGGTGCAAAATGGAACACCCAGAAAAACCTGATAAACAAAGACAAGCTGGTGATGCAGGCAAAGGAGCTTCAGCTATCAGTGAGAGCCAGCTTCACTCCCTGCCTGGGGACTGAAATGAGAGACCTACAAGGAGGGCTGATGGGGTTGGGAGAGGGGCAAGAATGCAGATTTGCAGGGAAGCAGTGGGGACTGGAGACCTGGAGGTGGAAAGTGGATGGGTGGGTGGGGGGGGAAAGGTAACGGAGGGAGTGGGAGTGGGAGGGAAGCAGGGACCCATGTAGGTGGAAAAAATGGGGCTAGTGGGTAAGAAAGGATGCAGAGTGGAGGAGATATGGAGATTGGGAATGGAAAACATGGACCTGTCTCTGGCATGTGATGGAGGACTGTGGCAAACATGCAGAACCTGTCATGAGCAAGGTTTAGGGAAGCTTACATAAAGTCCCTGAAATATAGGATGGGAGGGTAGCACATAGGGAGCTTGTGGAAGATATGTGTGGGATGAAAAGATTCTCTGTTGCATGAATACCCTCAGCCTAGGGAAGTTACAAAGTGCAACTCTTTTATCCAGGGTCATGACTGTGAAGTACCAGCATTCTGACATTAGAGGTCACCTATAGCTCACAACACTCCTTTCCTTTTTTGTTTTGCCTATGGGAACAGTAGGAACAGCTCTATTTACTCTATGGGTTAAGGTTGCTCATCTGCATACACTGAGTTGTGAAAACTACAAGACCTAGGCAAAAAGTGAAAATTCAACACAAATGTTTGGTGAATTCATGACAGTTTGCCTGAATTATTGTGAACAATCCAAAAACCTCAAGACTTCATTTCAACATGTTTGAAATTAATTTTTTTTTGGTTCAAAAATACTTTTGAGACAAACACATGCAGTCTTTACTTTCAGGGAAGTGGAGGGAGAGAAAAGGGTTGGTTTGGGGTGAACTCAATGCCTCCATGTTCAGGCATCAGCACAAGAAATTGAATGTTTTGCTCCTATATCTGTCTGCAGCAATATTTGGGGGTAGCCATTGATACAGATACAACGTGTCTGGAGAGCTAAAGCAGCAACACAGTGGCCTTATCTCAAGGGCCAAAGGGGTGTGTTTTTCAATCATGTTAAGCACCCTTAAAAAGCCCTATTAAGGCCCAATCTATACTACAAAGTTAGATCAACCTAACAGACAGAGGTGCTTGTGGCACACTAGGCTTCCTCCTACCCATTGCACTGTGCTTTGCATCCCTGCAAGCAGACAAGTATGAATGTCACAGGTTCTGGAACAATTTTTATAGCTGATGATGGAAACCATATATTTGGTGTCTGTTTTTACTACTTTAAGCAAGGGGATGTAGCAGCACCCTGCACCACGGATTCATGTGTGCAATATACAAACTTTGGCAGCTGTATATGGATATGCTTCAATGGGCTTTTTCAATTGTATTTAACTTGATTAAAAATACACACCCTTTCATGCATCAATAAAGGGCCAGTTTTCTAATCAAGTTAGTTCAAACAATCGAAAAGCCCTATTAAGATCTAACACGTGGTTCTCAAACTTTTTTACTGGTGACCCCTTTCACATAGCAAGCCCCTGAGTGAGACTCACCCTTACAAATAAAAAACACATTTTAATGTATTTAACACCTTTATAAATAGGAGGGGGGGAGAAGGTAGCTCAGTGGTTTGAACATTGGCATGCTAAACCCAGGGTTGTGAGTTCAATCCTTGAGGGGGCCATTTAGGGAACTGGTGAAAAAATCTGTCTGGGGATTGGTCCTGCTTTGAGCAGGGGGTTAGACTAGAGGACCTCTTGAGGTCCCTTCCAACCCTAATATTCTATGAAATGCTGGAGGCAAAGCAGGGTTTGGGGTGGAGACTGACAGCTTGCAACCCCCCATGTAATAGCCTTGTGACCCCAAGGGGTCCCAACCCCCAGTTTGAGAACCCCTGATCTAACACATAAAGCCATGTTAACTAGCTGCAGTAGAACATGGAGGCAGGAGGAGAGTCTAACATGCCTAAGCAACACACAGTTTCAATTATTGTAGCCTGTATCTTAACAAGGCTTTCCAGTTGTGTTACACCCTTTGCTCATTGTAGTCATCAAGTTTAAGGGCAGGAAGGACCACCAAATTGCCCTCCTGTCTATCACAGCTCACTAAACACAACCCAGCTACCTCCACACCAAGCCCAACAGCCAGAATTAGACTGAATATTACAGGCCTGAGGAGATTAAACTACTTCATGCTACAGGCAGAGACATACTCATTGTGGCTCTACTGATGCCTTTGCACAGAAGCAGAGGGCTCTTGTCTGTATCATACAACCAAGATTAGTCAGTCCAAAATGTTATTTCAGGAGGAAACAAGTACAGGAACATTTAAAAAAAAAAAAACTAAAAAAGTTACATAGAACATGCAATAGTGCTCTGTCAAGTCCTTGTGCCAAATTTTTACATTAAATTTCATTTAAAGAGGGATTTTAGTTATACTTTAAAGGCAAAGACTTTCAAGAATATAGGTTATGCTCCAAAATCCCAATTTAGTTCCTAATAGGCTGGTTTTCAAGAGTGCTAAGTACCCAGCAATTTCCACTGAAGTCAATTGGAAGCAAATCTCATTTTTCCCCATAGGAAAAATAGTAAATATTTCCCCATCTCAGGAGCTTGTCTGTACACAAAAAGTTGCACTGTTTCCACTGTAAATTTTGTAATTGATTTAAACTCATAAAGCCTGTGTGAGCTCACACACACTTATTTAGAAGTTGTTTATAGCAATGTAGTTTAATTCAGTAAATTACCAATTTAGTTAAATCAATATAAATCAGTTGTCAATTGATCAGTGCAACTATTCTATGTTCTTCATTTGTAGAACATTTTGAGGTTCTTGGGTGGAAGATGCAATCGAAGTGTAACAGTAATTTATGTTCACAAAACAATTCAATGACCAGCACTTTGCTCCCTCCTACCCCCCATAATTCACACAGAATCCTATTATAGAAGCACTATGCAGTACTGAGGTCACAAAACAAGAACATTATATGATTCTACTCTTTAAATAGTGTAAAAGTTTTAATTTTCACTGGCTGTAAAAACAGGCCAGCAAACACTTGGATGAGAATAGGAAAAGTGGACATGGTCAAAAGTGACAAATTGCATAACTGCCAACTCAGGATTATGTGGCACATTGGAACTAAGAGTTTATAAATTGTCTGTCATCCTTTCCTGCTCCTAACTGGATGTTCTAGGTGTATAATCTCATCAGAAGCTGGTTGCTGGCTTTCTGACTCTAAGTGGAGTGTTACTACCCAACCAACAATTAGCAAACCAGAAACCTAATTGTATCTGGTTTCTGTGCTGCATATACACAGGAAAAACTATTAGATTAACAACATTACTATAACAATGCCTCCAGATTGATGGTTTCTTCACAGTTGATAAGTTTTTGCTATAGGTTAAATGTTTGCATAATATTTTCAAGTATAGGACTCCAGGGGTTGGTTGTGTGTCTCTACAACAATGAATTTTATCTCACAGCCTTGCCTACATGGTGGGAATCCTAGTGTAGACAAGGCTGTGTGGTCAAACCTGTACACAATTTGCTTTCAGCACATCTACATTAGGGTTCTCACCAGTGCCAGCAGTAGTTCCAGTGGAATTCTCCTCCTGGAGACAGACTAATTGTCAATATGGAATTTATAGCAAAAGATCCTTTTAAGCATCCACACACTAATGGAAGATAACATAGTCTATCAGAATCCTTCAGATCAGTAACCTTCAAATTACATAGGTTGGGTATAAACCCAAGAATTAGGACTAGAGTGCCTCTAACAGCATTCAATCTCAATTAAATACAATTATACTTAATTTAGGTATGAATTTAATATTTAAAACTTTATATTAAAAATATACACTTCTACATCAGACAAACATTTTAAGTACAGTTGAATCATATATAGTGTATTATATTATACTCTCTGTCTTCCACTTTGCTTATAATGTTTGAAGAGGATTAAATTGTTTGTTGTCCATTTTGTTCTGTATAACTGGATGGACAGAATTGTGGTAGAAAGTGTTGCTGGAAAAAAGGCAGATCATGTGCCCTAAGGGCGTATGATGGGTTTTGGGAGTCATATATTTGAAAGGAAGAGTTGAACTGTAAAGCACAATTAGGAGTAAAAGGTAGAAGTCTTTGTTGCATTGGACTAGGATAGTGGGAATAATCCTGTAACATATTTGGTGGGGTCCCTTGTTTATAGCCATAGAAGGGATCTGAAGATATGAAGCTATGATGGTGGTCTTGTATTTGCCTCTTAAGTTTCATCCTGCGATTCTGGAACCAGGTTTTGACCTAGAAAAAAAAAGTAATGTTAAAGAAATCAGGGTCCTAACAGAATAATTTATAAAAACTACCATGTATTGAGAGCATCTGTAACTGAACTCACTTGTGATCCATACAGTATAATCGGAGTTAAAATAATTTGAATTAAAGCATTGATCTTATCAGCAGAAAAGTTTCCATATTGTGTAAGCTCATAATGTATTATTTACTGTGTGCATTTGCCAGAGATAGCAACTGCAAAGACCTAATCAAGGGCTTCATCCAGCTTCCATTTCAGTCAATGGGAAGTCACTGACCCCAACGGGAGCATGTTAGGGACCCAAATCTTAAATCCATTAATTGTGAGCAGCCCTTGACTGATTCTACTCAAGGTGTTAACCAGTGCATAAGCAAGTGCTTGCAGGATCGGGGCCTTATTTAGTAACTCTAAATTTTCTGTCCAAGTGAATATCAAACTTCATATTTATCAGCATCAGATCCCGGTTGTATTGTTAAGTTAAAAAAATATTAAGTACAAATGTTTAAGAGTTTTAAAGATACTCTTCGGACCCATGGAAACAGGAGATTAGGCTTCTAGTAAATCCTGCACTTTCTTTAATGGACAACATGCCGTGCCCTGCGTTTATAGTCGGTAGGAAGGAATTTGAATACCAGTCCCCATCAGCAAGAAATCATAACCAGTTATCGTTATGCTCAGCACCCGTGCGGCTTTAAACACGCAGAGCGTGGCCAAGTGTGAATCAGCGCTCTCTTTGCTCAAGCGAGTTCCGTTCGGAGAAACGGATGCACGCGCGGGGCCTGACTGAAGCCAAGGGGCAGCTGGAGGCGCTCAGCGTCTCTGCACACACCCCTGCAGCTAGGGGAGCAGCGAGCGGCCCAAAGCCCCCCAGCCCGGCTGTCTCTGCCGCGGGGACTGGGGCCGGACACTGACCTGAATCTCGGACAGCTGAAGAGCGGCCGCCAGCTTCCTCCTCTCCGCCGCCCCCACGTACTTCTGCCGTTTGAAGGTTTTCTCCAGCTTGCCGACCTGCTCCGGGGTGAAGGCGGTCCGCGCCCTGCGCTGCTGGGGCTCGCCCTCCCCCGGCGACGAGGGGATGCAGGAGGCGGCGCTTTCGCTCTCGTACCCGGAGGACTCGTCCGCGCTCACCCAGCCGCCCTCGGGAGCTGCAAAGGCGGAGGGTGGGTTAGGGCTCCGGTGCCCAACGGGGGGAAACAGCCCGATCGGGCCCCGCGGCTTGCGAGCCAGCCCTCCGCTGCTCCCCCAGCCAGGGCAACAGCACCTTCCTTTCCGCCGCCCCACCCTCCTCCCCCCGGCCAGCTGGAGGCTCTTCCTCGCGGCCGGATCAGGGCCCTACTTTCCTCTCCAGCACCAGCCACCACCTCCCCGGGCTCGCCTCTGACTTACCGGGACTTGCTCGGCCGTTGGGCAGCTCCTGGGGCTTGGGGTCTTCCAGCTCCTCTCGGCGCAGGCTGCTGGGTTGGAGCTGGCCCCCGGCCGCGGCTCCCCCTTTGGGCTTTGCTTTGGCCAGGCGGGGACTCCTGCTGAAGGAGGTGGGGGCCCGCGGAGGAGGAACGCAGCAGATGTGAGGCCTGCCCGCTGGCCTTTGCTCCTCGCTCTCAGGCTGGGCCGGGAAGTCCACCGAGAAGGCGACCTCACCCATGGCGAGTGGGAGCTGAAGGAGCGGGGCTCACAGGAGCTGCCTGCAGCTCCCTCTGTTTAGCTAGCGCTGCTCCGCTGGAGGGGAGGGCAAGTTGGTGGGTGGGGGCCTCCATTTATTTATAGGGGGCCCTCCCTCGCGGGCTCGTTTGCGAGTGTGAATCCACATCAAAGTACGAAGAGAAAAGAGAGAACAGCTGTCGGTTAGGAGTAGAGTTCACACGTCTGGCAAATGTCTGCAGCCCCTGGCTCCAGAGAGTCTGCAGGATTGTTTCTGCCCCCTTGAAATGCAAACCTGCTCTGGGCCCCTCCTGATTCTCCCCTGGAGAGGGGGAGTGGCGGCATGGACAATTCCAACCACACCAAACAAAAGACCAGCAAAAGGGCTTTTAAAGACAGTTACACGCCAGATAATGGCAGAACGATGGGGTTCAATCATGTCCCTTCCAAACGTCGATGGACTAACACAAAAGGCACATACGACATATTTTAAATTGCATAGATCTCCAAGCATTAACAACCGCATCTCATTACAGCCATAATCAGGGAGTTCCTTAGGGCAGGGACGTGAATGGAGCAGGGTTTTAGTATCTTTATCATGCGAGGTTCCGGTTCTATGTATGAGAACATTTATCACCGATTAACACAATTCAAAACTCTGTTATAACAGGAATTTTTACATCAATCATTGCCTTTCAAAATGCAGATCTAAATGAAGCTACCAGGTAATCCTTTGAAATGCCCTCTTTAGAGTGGCAGTATATATTTCAGAGGCAAGGTGGGTGAGGTCATAGCTTTTACTAGATCAATTTCTCTAGCTGGCCCAATAAAAGATATGACCTCACCCACCTTGTCTGTCCAATATCCTGAGCCCAACAAGCTACAACACTGCAAACTATATATTTCAGGTCGGGGGCTCCTGCTGAAGGGGAGAAGGAGGGATAGTCTAGCAATCATGTAACACAAAACGTTACTACAAACATGGTAAATAAAAGTCACGATCGATTTCCCATAGAATCCCGTCTATGTTCCCTATCAATATCAGAACCCCTTCTACTGTAAACTAATGAGCGGAAGAAATCCAAGTCCATTGTAAAGGTCGTACGGAGACATCAAAAGTCTGGGTTGGCTTGGATTTCCCAGCTCCTGGCTGTATTATTGCTGTTTCTGGTTTAACGGGTACAAATTCAACCCTGCACTCCTCTCAGCTTGAATTTGGCGCCAGTTGTCTAGCCAGAAATGTAGCCAATCTTTCACCAACGCCTGGAAGTTTAGCGATCAAAGCAATACAGGACCAGAAAGCTCACACCTCATCAACTTCAAACTACCCCCAATTTACACGTTATTTATAAAGCATAGCTTCGCCTTTGTGATGCAAGGGGCAGATAATGCTAAGAACCGCCCAGAGGTTTAATCATTGTAAGTATAATAAACCGTTATTAGAAAACCCATCACTGAGGTTTCAAGCATTTTCTGCGTTTAGATAAGCCAGTGGAAAAACATACAGCAAGCACAAAGCACAAATGAATCGGCTACAAAAGACACCGGGGCACCATATATTCAGATTGTTCCTAATTGGGAGAGCAAACTGCAGATATTCCCTCTCTAACCCTGAACCTTGATACCAGGGCCCTGTTCTTACAGTGCTCACAGGGGCTAAACTCCTGAACTCACTGAGCCCCCGATGAAACCCGCCAGAACTGAAGGATTTGACTCAATAAACTCGGATCTAATGAGCAGCGTGTTTGTTTCTTCTTCCTATAACTAGATTATTGATCTTTCGTTCCAAAAGGAAAAACATAAATGCCTCCTTCTTTCCCCCAAAGGCAAGTTTCACTGAAAATGCAATGGTATGTGAGTGAGGCTGGTTTTCTTTGTTTCACCCTCATCATCTGCTACTGATGTCTTAACACACGGAGCTGCAGCAGATTATAAACTTGTACTGATCTGAATCACAGATATACTATCTATAAATGCACGGGGCCATTAAAGCACAAAACTTTCCAGGAAAAGTGTAAGACTCTTTGTTAATCCTACCAAAGCGCAGAGATTCGACTAGTTGCAACCTGGCCCATTACATTCAAGTAAGAGGGCAGCAGGGCCTTCAGAATAGATTTTACTCAGCACCTGCATTTCGGGAGAGCTGCATATGCTGAACACGGCTGAATATCAGGCCACATGGATCTAATTTCTAAGGGGCCTTCTGAGAAGGGCTGGCTGAGCTGGCATGGGAGTGGTGGGCTCAGTAGAATTTACAGGTTCCGGCTCCACTGTGTGCGCAAATAAAGCAGCAGCTGCCCTTAGGATGCTGTTTTCCCCGAAGTTTCCTTTCTCCCTGTAATTCATACTTAACAAGAAACTTGTTTTGCTTTTATTTATTTTCCAACCCCAGATAGAAGTAGGCTTAAAAGGCTCCCTGTGCCCCCCCCCCCCCGTTTGCTGTATTACAACCAAACTATTGTGATTAAACACACAAGCTATAATGACACACACCCCTGTCCTTGGCATGACATGACCGGGCAGCGTCGCGATCGGAAAACAGGTTCGCTACAATCGTGATAGAATCATGCCAGGCGCTCATCCAGCTACTTAGTTCTCATCCACAGCTCCCAGACTGGGGCTTGTTCTATTTGTTAGCCCTGAACACATACGGGCCAGCCTGTGCTGCTTCAGCTGGGCGGGGTTACTCGAGCTGTCCCTGTCCGCCCCGCCCCAGGACTGCCGGGGTGCTTGAGCCCGGCCCCGATCTTCCTGGCTCTTGGCGTTTTCCTGTTCCCAGCACTGTCGCTGCGATCGCTCACAGCTGTGCCTTTGGGAGGCTCGGTGCTCTCCCCCCTGCTCCTCCCTCCCCCCGCGTTATCACAGGGGAACAGGCTCCAGCTAGTTCCCTCCGAGCTTTGCACGCCGCTTCCTCACACCTGCCTGCTCGCAGCGTTTCCTCTTCCAGAGCTCGTTAGAGCAGCTGCTGTTACCTCTAAGCTGGGAACCTCTCCAACGGACTCGGCTCCACTGCGGGTTGCGTGTTCGGAAACACCCGGATCCCGTCTCTGACGGTTTAAACAGTGAGGACTGACTCGGGCTTTTCGTGGCCGATCTTTAGTGGGACTGAGCAAGGGAGAGATTTCCCGAAGCTCCTGCACTGCCCTGAGCCAAGAGAGCAACCGCTACACAAGCGTACGGGGCAGGGTGGGCTCAGACAGGCTCCAAATCCCGAGGGGCCGCCTGCGCGAAGTGGCGAGGCTGGTCGTGCTCATGACTTTAACTCTGCAGAGGACCCATGTCCATTTCAAAGGCTGTCCGCACAGAGGGGTCAGTGGCTGACGGAAATGGAGCTTGCAATAAGAAATACCAGCAGGGCAGGCGATTCCGATTTTAGCGTCCCTGACGTCCCTCCAAACACACACACATATAACCTGGGGAAAGGCCTGGGCTGAGAGCAACCCCCCTCCCTGTATTTCAATAGCCTTCCCGGCCATTACACACTTGCGGTCACCTCTTCCGTCACACTCACAAGTTACTTGGAGCAGATCTTTAGAAAGGGGCAGTCCTTCCAAAATGTGGTGGTTTTCTTCATCCTTACCCTCCAACACACTAACAGCCCGTGGTGACGCTATGTTTAAAGGCCGTGTAACTCCAGAGAGTGGGTTGGTGCACTTATTGAGATACATTCTAGAATCAAGACTTTCCCTCCAATTTACATTATATCAAATAAATACACATTGTAGACTTTCTCAGGCAGATTGTTATACAGTCATGTCCACACTGTGCTCAGTGGTGTGCCTATAGGCAGGAAGAGGTGCTCAGCAGAGTTTGCAATCTACAAAGACAGCTAGGGGGCAGAGAAAGGAGTAAAAGATTTAACAACAGAGTCAGGGTGATGTTTGGGACATGTCTGCATAGGTCAATATTTTAATATTGTTTTGCATGTAAAAAGTATCCCCAGCTGCTCCTCCCCCCAGCTAGTGTTGGCGCCACTTTTTCCCCCAGCTATTTTAATATACTTAGAAAATCACTACAGATTCATTCTTCCCCACCCCGGATCCCACCCTCCCAGAAGTTACAGATGCTTGAATTATGATGCACTCATGCAATATTTTATTATATGTACACACACACACACACATACTGACTGACCTATTTATAGGTCCCATTTAGTAATATTACTGGCCATTTCTGATGTTAGCATAGCAATATAACAAGGACCTATGACCACACATATCCTGAGACATACTTTCCCTCCCCCAATCAGATTTACTTGTTCTCTACTGAAGTGTTCTGTGGATGTCATCTTTGTACATTTCCATTTCCTTTCCCCTGGTGCCTGCGGTGTATGACTAACTACACTTAAACATATCTAGCATCATGACTCCTTTATGTATCTTTCACCTTGAAACTCTGACATTACTATTAAATATTAATTAGGTGCCATTGTGGATCACAGCACTACAAACAAAAATGCTCATGTCTTTACAAAACTATTGTGACAGACCCAGACCAGTGGGGTACAGGAGTCTGGTAGAGGGCAAATATACTGGTCACTGGATGAGTAGTTTTCCATTCCCTGAGTGACCAGAGAAGGGACTGCCCTAGAGTAATCAGGAACCTGCTAGAACCAGTTAAGGTAGGCAGGCTAATTAGGACACCTGGAGCCAATTAAGAAGAAGCGGCTAGAATCACTTAAGGCAGGCTAATCAGGGCACCTGGGTTTTAAAAGGAGCTCACTTCAGTTTGTGGTGTGAGTGTGAGGAGCTGGGAGCAAGAGGTGCAAGGAGGGGAGTGGGAGTGGGAGTGGGAGTAGGCAAAGGCAAGGCAAGGCAAGGCAAGGCAAGGCAAGGCAAGGCAAGCGTTATCAGACACCAGGAGGAAGGTCTTGTGGTGAGAATAAGGAAGGTGTTTGGAGGAGGCCATGGGGAAGTAGCACAGGGAGTTGTAGCTGTCATGCCACTGTTACAGGGGGCACTATAGACAGCTGCAGTCCACAGGGCCCTGGGCTGGAACCTGGAGTAAATAGTGGGCCTGGGTTCCCCCCAAACCTCCCAAGTGACCTGGCCTGTGGGTTCTTCCAGAGGGGAAGGTCTCTGGGCTGTTCCCCAACCCACATGGTGAATCTCTGAGGCAAGAAAATCTGCCAATAAGCACAGAACCTACCAAGACAAAGGAGGAACTTTGTCACACTATCTACTAACTAAAGACAAAATCAGACTATGTTAAAAATGGTTCAGCCACAACCTTATTGCAAGCTAATGCAAACAGTGCTTGCAAAGCCACAGTGGAGAGAAAAGACCAAAACACCTGAAAAGAGAGACAGAGAGTTAAGTCGCTTCCTCTAACAGCTCTGAGGACTAGAGACT